ATCCCATTAAGCTCTAATGCTAAGATTATATGATCTGGGACTAAATCACTTCACCTAACTATTTCATTCAGTTTCTACATCTGTAAAAATGATACTTGTACTCCATACCTCCTAGGGTTATTGTAAAGATAAAAAAAGAATATATGCAAAGTACCATGTAAACTGTAAAGTGCTATATCATTAATTACTGTTATTGTATTATTAATCATATTACATTAATGGTGTTTTGCATACATGCTATATTATATAATGTTATTATAGTATATATTATTTAATAATATAACATAATTATCTTGTACATAATACATACATAATAATACTGTATTGTCAGTCACATTGTTTTGGAGGAGAGTGTATGAGTTTGGTTTTAGTCATTTAAAGCCATTGTTTTGAAAAAAGGTCGAAAGGGGACCCATATGGATATGCCCAAGGAGGCCATGAAATGGAAAAGGTAAAGAACTCCTGAACTAGAGGGTCTTTAAAGCACCCTAACCCTGAAATTCTGTGGTTCTTTAATGGGAAACCTAACAATCAGTGTGATGGTAGAGTTCCCCTGCCTTGATGTTTAGGTTGCCTTCACTTCGTAAATATTTTTATAAATGTTCCCTCTCCCAATTGCCATTTAGAGCTCACCATCCCAATGTTTGCAGACTTCCTCTTGAGATTTTTAGCATGGTAAAAGATGTCTCCACACAGATTGAGTAGTAGGAAAAATATTTTCAGAAACATCCTCAAGTCATCTTGGTCATTTATGCACCTGCACATTTGGGTATACATTTGGATGCAATTTGGGAAGTAGTTACTGTTTCTCTGTGCTTCTGGCAATATAGGCAAAGCATTTATATAACACTTGAAGATTTGCGAAGTGCTTTGCACATGTTCTCCTTGAATCCTTACAACAACTGTGTGAAGTAGGTGCTTCATTTTACAGATGAAGAAACAGGCTTAAATAGCATAAGTGACTTGCCCAGCGTCACAGAGCTAGTAAGTGGCTGAGGTGGCATTTGCACTCGGGACTTCTTGATTCTAAGACCAGCATTCTCCCTACCATGCCACCTAGTTGCCTCATCTTAGAATAGTTTTGTATATCTGGAAATAAAATCAAAGCCATTTTTGTTAGATAACAATGCCTTCTTGGTTAGTAGTAAGGCTTCTGTTTTTGTGGGGGGGTTTTCAAGTGTTTTCTTTGCATAAGGAATATTTCTAAATTGTACCTTGTAAACCTATTCAAGTTGAAGTATTAATATTTAGAATTATAATTATTTACTTTTTCGTTTCCTTCCATAGAGAACAATTTTTATTTCCCAAAGTCATGCACAATTATTATTCTTGCTCTGGTTTTGGGCTTTTTTGTTTTTGTCTCATCATCACTCTATTCAATGAACTCCAAGCTTATAAAAGGCAACCCTTAATGGGAATGGAACGTTTCTTTCTCCAGGAAATTTGTTTTACATAAAATTTTAAAAATTAACTATACCTTTTAAAGTTTCTTCTCTTTTTTCAATTAGATTACAAAAATTACTTGACTTTTCTAAATCATTATCCTCATCTCAGAGGAAATCCCAACTGTTATGGAGTACTCCCCACAGAAGAAACTGTCTATAACTGGAGAACTGTTATTGTAAGTAGAGTTTTAGCATGACTGCATTCCTTTAGTCATTAGAATGGCCCAGTTTCCCTGTTGGTATTGAAACTAGTAAGGGTGGTAGGAAAGGTTGGTCATAGGTTAAAAACTGGCAAGTTCCTTTCCATCTGATAACAGCTAAATTTTCATTTGAAATCTATTGACTGCAACTATGCTTCCCAGAGGTCACTTGTTAATGAACCTATGAAAACAACCCACATGGATTAAGTGTAAGAGAATCACCAAGAATGTTATCAGTTGTGAACCTGTTATTCGGTAGATCAAATAGGATGATATATAAATTGCCTTGCAGACCTTAAAGCACCATTTAAATGCTAGCTGTTACTGTAATAATAATAATACTTATTATTATGATATGATGATGATGTTGATATCCCATTCCCATAAGCCAGGGGCAGGCTGCTTCTACAAAGTAGGCCCACAAACACTCATCCTATTAGGCCACAAGTTAGAGTTTTCAAGGGCCATAGGCTATTGCTGCTCCTTCTTTTCCTCAAAAATCTGCAAAGGATACAAGCTGCCCAACAGGCCAGTGGGGACTTGTCCAGTGACTCACCAGAGTGTTCTGCCTTACCATCTGTTAATAATTAGCTCAGAGATCCTTCCTGTATTCAAAGGAAAGAATTAAGTTTTCATTAAACAGAGTCACTCCAACCACATTCTAGCAACCGCTGGAGAAGGAAAATGTCTCTAGGGTCTCTTAATAGATCCATTCATCTCTCAGGGGGGTTCCCTGCTGATTACATTTTTATGTTACTTTATCATTAGAACAGCACTACTGACTTCTATTTTGAAGGAAGCCTCCATCATGCTCTGCAGAATATGACTGAAAACCAGGGGGTGCAGACTGCTCCTGTCCAACAGAGAGGCGGAAAAGGTGTGTTGATCAATCTTTGATTCAGTGTACTAGTATATTTGTTTAAAATAGTTTTGAGGAGATTTCATATCACAATTTCTCTAAGTGTATTTGTAAATATTCCTTTCATCATTGCTAGTGAACAAATCAACGCTGTCAACAGATGTACCGTGCCCAAATCAGTTGTAATCAGATCCACATGGTCCCGGCCTTTATAGTAAACTCTGTACAATGCTTCAAATCTGTCATTGTTCCTGGAAGGGCTGTGTCAATCCACTCCATGGTCCCACTCACCATTTCTGTAACTTTTAGGACCAGAGTTCCCCTCCCCGGCCCCTACTCTTCTCTGTATGTTGTCTCCCCATCCTATCTGGATCCTCATTGCCTAGTATAGTTCTTGGTACATAGGAAATTCTTGATAATTTTTTTTCATTTATTCATCTTCCATAGTTCCTACATAGATATATAGGCGTTTTGCAAAATGCGTCTTAGGTCCTCTATCTGTGGTTGTTGTATTTATATTCAAAGCCTAAGGAGGGACAATTGGCTGCCTTCTGCTGAGGATTTCTTTTCATATTCTTATCCAGTGTGAGCTCCTGAAGCTCAGTGAGCATTTTTAGTATGTTCTCTTAGTATGTTGCCTAGTAAGAGGCGGTATGAAATTAGTCACTTAGTAAATGGTTCTGGTTGAAAATGATTTGAAAATGTAGAAAGTACCACGTAGTGGCCAGGGGGTCAGAACAGTTCTGTTCTCTTTGTGTCTGACTTTAATTCATTCTGTAGTAGCCTTTGGTAAGTCCCTTATGTTTTTCAATTTATAAACTGGAGATTATAGCATTCAAAAGATAAGGTTAGTTACAAAACCTTTGAAGTTCTTGAATGAATGATGAATGATGCAAGAGTACTATTCCCCAAGGAGTTTTTCTGCACAGACAAGTAAAGCAATTTCCTGGGAATCCACAATTCCATTTTGCTCACAATGTGCCATAGTTTATAAAAAGTAGAAACTGATGCTAAGAAGCTTGTGTCACAGTTATGTAAATCACTTATTCTTCTACTCATCAGCAAGGCTTCTATTCTTTTCTATCCCACTGGGCATAAAAATCTATCAAGCTTTCTTGGCCAGAATTTTAATTTACCCTGCATTGTACAGGGGTTATTAGAAAAAATCCCATATATTTCATGGCAATGAAAAATATCATTATGCCTAAAATGACCTTTTGTGTTCCTTATCAGAATGGCCCCAAATTGTGTGTGGTCAACATTCCTGAGAAAGTTTGGGTTCATAAGTAAATGGTGAGGTTAGGTTTGGTGATGTATCCTGTAACTTGTCTCTTATTACGGTACATTACACATTATGACATAGCTTCTTCAAGACATATGACAAACCCAAAGTTGTTTTTTTATCTCCCTAAACTAAGCCTTTTTTTTTCAACGTAAGTCCTCATCCTGAAAATGGTTTTATTATAATCTTTTTAGAATATCATCTGCTTTGTCCACTTTGCTATTGTTCAAAGGAACTTTGGTGTCTAACTGTGAACCCTAAACCCATTGGAGAAGACTTGCTTTAAAAAAAATAGAGTGATAAATAACCCCATATACCAATAAGAGGTCCCTAAGTTTCTTTACAAATGAAGGATATGTAAAAATTTGAATACTTTTGCTAACAAGGAATCGCACTGAAATTTGGTGTGCCAGATTGTGGTATAATCAGCTAACATCTGAGATAATTCTCTTGGGAGTGTACCTCTTGGATCCTTTAGTGGCCTTAGAAGCCTAATACATTGGCCTTCAAGTGCCAGGTCACTCCTATAAAATCAATTCCTAGAAGGTGACATGGATAGGGAATTATTCCCAGCACTGTACACTCACTCAAAATCCAGGAAAGAAGCATTTATAGAGCCGCTGCTGTACACCCGGTATATCTGAGGGATATTCCAATCCGTGACGTATTTTATTCTACATTTAGGGAGAAAGAAGCTCCGACTGTTTGAATACCTTCATGAATCTTTGTGTGATCCTGAGATGGCATCCTGTATCCAGTGGGTAGATAAATCAAAGGGGGTCTTTCAGTTTGTTTCCAAAAACAAAGAGAAACTTGCAGAACTTTGGGGAAGAAGGAAAGGCAACCGCAAGACCATGACTTACCAGAAAATGGCCAGAGCCTTGAGGAACTATGGAAGAACTGGGGAAATCATAAAAATCCGCAGGAAGCTCACCTATCAGTTCAGTGAGGTCATCCTTCAGAGACTCTCCCCACCTTTGTTTTTGGGAAAAGAAATAATCTATTCACAATATATTCAATCTGACCAAGAACAACTCAATTTAAATAATTGGAATGCTAATTATAATTACATGTATAGCCACGACCATGATCTAGGTTACTCTGATTGCTAGGACATGTGCCTTCCTTCCATCCCCATTACAGGGTTTTGAAGGCATCACAAATTCCTATAAGATAAGGGCTTTCCCCTCAAATCAAGGCAAAATTCATTTAGTTTAGTTTCATTGTTGTTATATGTTGTAATTAAATGGTGTATACAACTCATGAAGTTGAATGGAATTCTATAAATGAACACATTTTCTATGATAAACTGAACTGAATGTATAAAAATTAAATTTCTCTGAGATTACTGCCTTAAAATGCCATTTTCTCTTCAAGATTTATATTGAAAAGTATAAAAGTTTATTTTATTGTTGACATAAGCATCAACTTCCTACCTTAGTAATAATAACTGTAATTTTTTGTGGTGTTTCTGTGGTGTTTTTAGGGTTTACTAAACATCTTATGTACATTATCTCAGTTAATTCTCACAAAAACCTTATGAGAAAGGCATTATTTTACACATTTTCTAGATGAGAAAACTGAGGCTCAGAGCAGTAAAGTCACTTCCTCATAGCTACATAGTTAATGTGTCAGAGGTAAAAATGGAAACCAAATTTCCCCTGACTTCGAGTTCATTTCACTTGACTTCAAGTTCAGTGTGTTTTCCAGTTCTACCTTATACTAAAATTATTCTCTTATAATAGGAGTTACTAACCTTTTTTTGTGTCATAGATCTCTTTGGCATTCTGATGAAATGTATATGCTCCTCAGAATAACATTTTTTAAATACATAAAATAAAATATATAGGATTACAAAGGGAATCAATTATATTGAAATGTAGTTATCAGAAATTATATATTAAAAAGGTAAGTTCACAGATCCTAGGTGAAGAATATCAGTCTTACAAACTAGTAACTATTGTAGCATTGCTTCTGGGATACTCTCCCCACTTACATTTATACTTCCGGGTTGGGTCCCCAGAAGAGCAGCCACTCTCACAGTTCAAAGATGTGCCTTGTGGTACTGCCCTTCTAGAAATACAGTTCATGAGCCCCCACTACTATATTTCCCATGAACAACATTTCAGTAGGATTTTATTAGCTCTCAGCAAAGGTATTTACTCAAATGGCTTAGCAAGAACAGTAGTTAGAGCAGATGTCCCCCATAAACGTATTGCTCGCTGTCCCACAAAGAAATGTCATGTTCATAGGGAGAGTGAGTGTAGACTTCAAGTGCAATGTTAATTCGGCACACAGGTCGGAGACACAGGCGACTAAGTTCACTGCTCCTGAACTGAAGCGTCTTGGTGTCCTTTCTGTGTTTTGTGGAGTCCTCCAAAGCTTACCTCCAGGTTCTCCTCTGAGTCAAGTCGTAGGAACTAGAGTTGGAAGGGACTTTAGAGCTCATCTAACCCAGCTTCTCCATTTGACAGTGATGAAGGTAAGGCCTGAAGAATGAGTCGCCCAAGATCATACTAGTAGTAAATGGAGAAATGAGAACTGAATCCAGGTGGTTATTCAGTCGTTTCAGCTGTGACCAAATTCTCTGTGACCCCATTTGGGCTTTTCTTGGCGAAGATACTGGCATGGTTTGCCTTTTCCTTTTCCAGTTCATCTTACAGATTAAGAAACTGAGGCAAACGGGGTTAAATAGGGACTTGCCCAGGGTCACACAGCTAGTAAGTGTCTGAAGCTGGATTTAAACTCGGGAAGATGAGTCTTAGTTATTCCAGGACTAACACTCTTATGTACTGTGCCACCTAACAGCTCTATCCAGGTAGCTGACAGTTATGTAATGATTTACAGTTTTTTACAAAGTACTTTCCTCACAATAACTCTGTGAGATAGGTAATGCAGTTATTGTGATCTCCATCTTACAGATGAGGAAAACGAGGCACAGAGAATTTAGCAGGCCCACACAGCAAGAAAGTGGTAGGGTCACGATACAAATATCAGGCCTCCAACTCTAAACCTAGTGCTCTTTCTGGTACACTACAGTCTCTCCCACCCCTCACAATAATAACCAAAAGAACAAAATACATTTCTCAAAACAAACATGTGAAGTAGTCATTGCAAGTGTTCTCATCCCCACTTAGCAACTGAGAAACTTGAGGCTGAAAAAGGTTGAAGGACTTGCTCTCAGTCACCCAGCTATTAATTGTCAGGGCTGAGAGTTTATACTGTGACTTTATTCCTCCTACCCCAGTGCTCTTCATTTCCCTTCCCTCCATTCCGACCGTGTACACAGGGTCTTTATGGTTTTTCCATTATCAAAATCAGGTCTCTGTCAAGAACCTGACAAATTTCTTGTATCGACATGAAATCTGGCTCCCTAGCTCATCCAACTTCACATTTCCCTGACACCACAAGAGTCAAAAGGCGAAGAAATATCTCTGCCAAAGATCTTGTCCCTGAATTCCAACATTTCTCTGCTACTACTTCTGCTGCCCATTTTTTACCTTGTTCATTGAACATCAGCACAGGTTTTCTTTTCAAACAGACAATTAAACTTTGCTCTAAGGGGAGGTTTGGGGTATTCAAGAGGACTAGCACCTCTGATATGAAGGCTTGCCAAGCCTTTTTCATGACTGCTCATCTACCTTTAGTGTCTACCTGACACTTAATTCTCACCTGTGGCTCCAAAAAGCAGCAGCATGTGCAGTGGCCACACCCTGGTAGCACCCTGGCAGACTAGAGAAGGTTAAGTGTAAACCAACAAATCTGAAGCCCATCAGTGAGTCAGGGGGATAGCAACCCCAAGCATATGAAGACTTCCCTCGGCAGAATGGGCAGATGAGAACAATTTGTTCCAGCAGCCATGATGGTGGCTGAAGTAGGCGCTGTGGAGCACTTACAGCTTGGTCAGACATCAGAAACACCAGGGTCATCCGTTGCATCTTGGGACATCACCAGTCATCTTGACTTTTGTCTTGCCACTGGACTTTGATGACTCTGGAAGAGAGAGTGAGGGTGATGACTTTGTGCAACTCCGCCTCACTTCAATCCAATTTGAGTCATGACATCACAGGTCCTCGTTGAAAATGAAGAACAAATAAGAACAAACAACTTTAAGGGGGAGGAATTTACAAATAAACACAAACTTGACACGTGTTTAAAGAATTAAATAATCTCTTCCAGGGGCTCCCTGTCATCACTTATCTTTAGTCAGCCCTGTCTTCAGGCTCTGACTTAGGAGTTGTAGATTTTCTGGATAATACCCCATTGCCATTCTCCGGTTCTTCTTCAAGTGATGACACTTAGTCTCCTTCTGAACTCTAGAAGAATAATATCCTTTCTCTTCTCCTATGTATTCCTCAGCTCCTCCACTCAGAATAGTCTCATCTCTCCATGTCTTTCCTTTTCAAATTTTCTTTGTCTTTGTGTCCCTACCACCAAATGCCTGACTCTTGGTACGCATTTAATCAATGCTTGTTGACTCTTTTCTCAAAGCAGTCTATATTTCTCTAATTCCTTTAGCTTTTTCACATCTCTGCTCTCTCTAGCTGTGCATAATCATGGGGGCAATGTGGAGTCACCCACTTTGTTTTTCAAGGATAGATTGTTAGGCTGATCTCTGAATGACCATGGATCTTTTTGAGGGGATACTGTGGTGTTCCAGAACTTGATGCCATTAGTACAATGTCATCAGCAAACAAAAGCACGGGAAAGCCTCGTCTTCCATAGGGAATCCCTTTTCTATGGAGACTCTTGCAGATCCTCCTTCAAGATGATGGCTAACGCCTTTGTCAAGCAAATTTCTTCCTGTTTTTTGTTTCATTTGGAACTGGGAGAGTATTGGAGTTGCTATTGAAAATCTAAGGATCATTGAATAAAGTCATCTTTGTGGTTTCTTCTCTCGAGGAGTCTTGTTTGACTTTAACATAAGTATCAGAGAAGTCTTATTGGGGCTTTAAGGTTGGGCTTTGCTCCGTATCTAATTAGTAAATAATAAATGCATCAGAATTTTGTATTCACTATGCTTCTCAGTCACTTGTATGCGTGTAAGACTATAGTCTACTTTTGTTAAACAAATATGCCTGAACTTGCGTATCTAAATAAGTATCGACCTTCTAGGTAGTCCCTTTAGGAGGTGACAAGCTTTGTGATTCACCCTGTGTGGTCACTGTCTCCTTCAGTGCAGATGAGAACTCATCAGAACCTCCTCATCCCATGTGTAAGTGGCAGACCTGGTTTCTGAACATGGGCCCTCTGATTCCAAATCCAGTCAGTGCTCATATCACTGAACCACATTGCCCGTGTCCGCTACTAATGAGGATAATGACAGCCTCTTCCTTTTGAAAGGTGGATAGCAATGTTGAGGAGAGTCCTGTATGTACTCTTAAAAAATCCTTATTCTCCTTAGATTGATGATGTGTAAGATACTTCCACGCTTAAACTTCGACAGATCCGTGATCTCAGCCGCGTAGGTACCTCCTGTGAAGGTACAGAACACAACCCAACTGCGCCATCTCATCCCGTGCAGCTTTTGTCCGTGTCCACTCCCAAATCCTTCATGGAAGGGGCCCTCAGTGTACTGGGCTAGAGTGGCCTCACCATCCCTACGGAGGAAAAACCCACGGAGATGAAGAATGAAGACGCATATCAGACCCAGGAAGAGTGTTTTAGCTTCTACAATAAAGTGTTATTTCCCATTGACACTGCATATGAGTGGGGCCGAGCAGGAGGAATATTGAATCTGGAACCCGCAGCCCTGCGGTTGAATTATGCCTGAGTCATATCCCCATTGGTTTCCTAATCTGTAAAGAGAGATGATGATCTCCAAGGACCCTCCCGGAGGTGATTCCTGTGATCTCAGCACAGACAGTTCTAACAAACTGCATCTTTTAGAAACCTTTGGAGCTTTACTCTTACTGCAGGGGCAAGAGTCCCCTAGCTTTAAGCTAATTCTGGAATCTAGACTCATATCTCTAGAGCTGAAAGGGGCCAGAGAGACCGGGGAATCCAACCCCTCATTTTCTGGATGAGAAAACTGAGGCCAGAAGAGATTAGGCGACTCTCCCAGAGTGACGTAGGCAATAAGCATCAGGACTTGGGTCCTCTGACTCAGAGCCAGCAGTCTTTCCACTGTACCACACGACCTTTAAAGAAAGCTACCCCTATCATTTAAACTAGACTGTATGGGAGAGTGCTCACCTGGGCCTCCTTTGGGTTTGGCCAAAGATGAAGAGATTGAAGAGAGGATGGGGTTGGTGCAGCTGGGTGGCACAGGAGATAGAGTGATAGACCGGGAGTCATGAAGCCTTAAATCTGGATCCCTGTGCAAAGCACTCAAACCTCTCTTGGCCTTGGTTTTCCTG